AACTTCGAGGGCCCGTTACTTGGTAACGAAGGATTTTAGGAAAAAAAGTTATATGAAGTACTGGTGATATTTTGACCTCATCTATAGATTCCCGAGAGGAAAAGAGGAAGTCTAGGGACACCCTGTATATCATGGAATAATTTGGTTGAGTACCGGGTTTCAAATAACTTGAAATTATTTTTGTTTTTTTTTCAGTGAACCTCCTGCAACAATAAACCTTGAAGTATGGGCAAGTCCTGACTATGATACCTTTGCTAAGGAGCTGGTGAAGGAGGTTGGGAGCGTTGGGCCACCTGGTCGTTTCGGTTGGTTTATTCCTGGCGAGCTGGATTTTCCAGTCAAGGAATATTACAACAAGTATATATGGGAAAAATCTATCCAAGAAGTCCACTGGTCTTTTTTCATGGACAGAAATTTGGTACATTATTTCGACATGGATAACGATATGTTGCAGATGATTGAAGATAACTCTTTCAATAAGGATCCTTCGCAAGATGATGAGTAAGTTCAAAAATATTCGTTGAATGTATTTTTCTAGATGGAGGACTCTCTATTCTTTCACCAAATTTGATTCAAAAATCATAAATTCCATACAAAGGTTTAGATGGAACTTTAGAAAAGGTTGATATGAAAACTGAATATNTCTGTGTTTCAATATTCAAATGCATCCGAATCTTATTCACTGGTATCTCTTTTTCGCATTGTTCACCAGCGCTATTGGAATCACTACACAGGAAAAAGTCTGCTTCGTTATCACATTCGTTATTACTATTACTACTTGTCCAAGGACGCCACATTTTAAACAAATAACAAACGTTTCAAGTAATTATAACTTCACCAACATCGAATTTCAACACTCAAATCGCGATCGTCACCGTAACATGACTTCAAATTCAATTTTATGACTCTTCAGCCAATCATTAAACTCGGTTAGTAAAAATTATCCAATAAGAACCGCCAATTCTTCAGTCCACGTGGACTAATTCCTAGCGGCATTAGTTTTTGTGTTGGTTTTATTGGCTTTTGAGTTCGCCGATAGCCTAAAAATTAATATATCGTTACTTCGACTATAATCATAATCATAAGCTTTATTTCATCCACAAAATTCATGCACAAATGTAAACAATAGAAATTACTTACATTCTGCAAGTAATATATCGGACTAGTCAGCTACATAAAAAAGTAATACAAAAGACAAATGTAAAGTTTTGTCATAATACATTTTAATGTATTATGACAAAATGCTGTATAATGCGGTATAAAATGTATACCGCAGACATTATATTAATATGTAATGATCTTAGAATTTAAGGAATTCATCCACCGTGTAGAACATATTGCTGTAGAGAAACGAATGCAAATCAGATGTAAACCTCATTTTACTAGTATTCGTATCAATAAAAGTTTTTATTTTATTGAAACATTTTATGCCAATATAATTTGGTGAGTTTTTGCCCGTCGATAATCTTGAAAATAATTCATGAATGTTATCTTTTTGACGTGTATTATGTCCATGAATGTCACTATTCGTGACAAACATATATTCATTTTCTTTCATATACAAAATTTTCAATACTTACTTTGACATCCTCAGAGTTAGAGAAAATGTTGTCAATACAGGTGGCAGCATGACTGGTTATTCTGGTTGGTTCATTGATATGATGTTTTATAATATATTCTCCCATTAAGTTGAGTAGCATCAATTTATTAGTGCTTTCTTTCAGAAAATCAATATACACATCACATAAAATGTAACAGTCTCTAGTGTTGTAGATATCATGCAGCAATATTTCTATACAATATAAATAAAAAAAAATTTTTTGGCAAATATATCCTAGCTACACAAGCTTCAAATGATTTTTCTATAGAGTGAGCTACAGGAACTTAATCAACATCCGGTAGATTTTCCTCGACGATTGAAGGTACGCGAAAAGCTGGAGATTAATTTGTAGTTTTTGATAACGGTTACTTGCAATTCTCCTTGTCTGAGCCAATGCTCCTCAATACAAACTACATCCACATTGCTCGATGTAAGCAGGACACTAATGCAGTCACATTCAATGGAGAGTCCCTGAATGTTCATATGTAATATATTGAAAAAGTTGGATGCTGTTTGTGTTTTTGGATGGGATATAGTATCATCTAATATATTCATAAAAAAATTGTGGACGGTTTTCACTATCATTTACGTTCCTAGAGTGATCCAGAAAACGACCTCATTTTCTAAAGTCGAATTGCCCAAAAATGACTTTGTCTGGCCAAAAGTTAGGCTCATATACCATCTCTTTAAAGTGTGGTTCTACACCAACCATAAATGATTGATTTAATCAATCAATTGATTATACTACTATACATGTAGTTTTCACCTATTCGATTATTCCAATATGAGTGGAAAGGTGCAATCATCTCAAAACAAGCTATTTCAGATATTTGAACAAAATGTTATTAAATTAATGCGTTATCAACTTTAATATGTATAGACGACCCCAACAAATATCGGGAATGGGAATGAATGGGGATGGTTCATTTTTGTGTGAAACTTCGACCCAACATAGTCACCAAATGTCGGGAATAAAATTTCAAAAATATATAAAAGCATTAAAGTAGTTAAATAATCATGCACTAATATATTTACCTTTATTATTATTATTTGCACTGAGAGCATCGATACTAAGTTGAAGAGAAATATATCTCAAAATATAAATCAACTAGCGACCCAACCCGGCTTCGCATTTATTTTCTGTCATAGTTTCACATCAGCTTGTAACTAATAATAATGGCCTTTGATAATGTTTACTCAGAAAAGTACATTCACAACAATTGATTTTAATTTCGAAATAGGTTGTACCTATTTACCTGGAGACAACATGAAACAAGGATGCGACCTTAACCTTTGTAGTAATTCGCTACGTCGCGTCGTACAACAAAACTAACGCAATTGCGTTTCATCTCTATGCATTGGTTTTTGAGACCGTTTGAATTATTTTGTCATGCGATAACTCCTGAGTTATTGATTTGAATTATAGGGTGTAAATGAAAATTATAATGTAAGTAAACTGCTTAAGGTACCTATGAATGATTTTTCAAACGGTGCAGTAATAGTTAGGGGCATGATATAAAACAACTTTTCCAGGAATATTGTATCACCAACTTCACATATGGGAAAAACTTTGAAAATATTTTTTTTTATTTAATAATATCTAAAAAGTCAACACGTCATTGGAATTGTTTGTTTTGAAGGATTTATGACTGCACTTCTTTGAAAATGAACCGTAACGTATTTATTTGATGAAGGCATTAATATCGTATCGGCCAAAATGGCTTTCCAATTACCACATTTTCAAACATTATAATGAGTTTGAGCTCTCCTTAAAAGATAAGACATTTCATCATGAACTTTTTTGTATACCATGAACAGAATCATTCTGTTATATTTCGAAGGGATTGCTAAGCACCTACTTCTCAAGGATAATATCGTCATATTTCAACCAATTCACACAAAACAATAATAAATTATGCACATAAACCTTATGAGTCATTCCCTTCGGTGTTTCAAACCGTATGAGAATCCGTTCGGTAGTTTTTGACTTTATTGCATTCAGACAGACAAACAGGTAGACGCGGCGAGAAAATATGTTTTATAATATGTATAGTAATAGAATAACCAGCCCATTTGTCGAACTGAGAATAATTGAATAATCAAAAAAGCACTTTTCGCAATGATATTTTCAGTTCGTTTCCAGCAATGAGTCTATCAATGTAAAAATTTCCATGGCTAGCCATGTGAATAATTGAGGTGAAACGACCTATGGCGGAATAGCGCGCTCGCCTCTCTTTCACCAAACACATGGATGAAAACACATGGCCACCTTCACACTGGTATATTGGATATGTATGAGAATGCCTTGAAGATATCAAATTAATTTTAAATTATTCTAAATTTACTTTTACTCAAAAACTGAATTCATTCAAATTCCCTCTTTTACAGTTTAACAGCCATCAAAAATAAATATTTCGGAATGAAATCTCGAAACATCCGTCTCTCCCAACGTAAGTATGCTAGATTGTTTCGATGTTGCATTTCGAAATATTCATTTTCTTATATCTATATATCTCTCCTTGATGCACTTTTCAGACATGTTTTGATTTCTCTTCGAACACCTTACTGATTCCAGGTTACAATGATTGATGCCTTCATGAATAAGGTAAATTGTGAATCAATAAATTAATACAAGATAGATATATGAAAACAAATCAGGAACCAGGTCAACATTTTGGAGAAATTGACAGATCAGTCGATTTTTATAATGAGGTAGACACAGATACTTCTTCCCCAAGAAGATCGCAATAATCCCAATAGTATATTAAGGGTGGAAAATGAACTCGTTTGTCGAAAGTGGACATTGCTCAACACATTCTACCAAAAAACTGTTTTGCCATTGTGTTTTTTCAAATCGCACATTTGTGCTTCACACCAATAAGTATACTCTGTCCATCTAAGCTACGTTGTTATCCAAAATTTTATCATACATAGTGCACGTGATCTCCCAGACAAACCTGCTAATACAGAATTGCACTAAGGAACGACCGAAATATTATTTTTTTCAATAATATGCGGCAACGTATAGAAATTCTTTGTAGGTGGAGTATAGGTATACAAATCAGCTGTTTCTTCATCCGTATCAGTAATTAACAATTTAAAAATTTTAAACTTCAGAATACCGTATATGTATACACCACAGGCGTTAAAATGTAACTGCCTACTCCGACACTGTAACAATGAATTTCGTCAACCGATTATAGTTAAACATGATTGGCCAGCGTAAGGAGTCTTGTTTATTCTATTCGATAGATGGTGATCCTGCTTTGATCACACATCTATCTTTGTTTGGGTTTTTGATAAGGTTTGTGGATAATGTACCTACTGGACCTGATTTTCCACAATTTATTTCCAATCACGGACCGCCTATCCGGCACTGATAAGACAGTTGTTTGTTGTTAGCCTGGAACATCGAAAAAAAGTTGGAGATTTGTCTCTTTTCTGTAGATACTTTCACGGGAAGTGTTCAAGTGACTTGGCACATTTGATTTTACCAAGAGCAGTACATATCAGAAATACGCGACGGATTGTGGCTGCTCATCGTTTTGACGTTTAACCCAATACACCTTGAACCTCACTGTTTAATAACGTTTTCATTTGTATAACTGTGTACATTAAAAAAAATAACATTGGTAAAATCACCAACGTTCAAGAGAAATTGGATAGTAAACTTAGTTGTCACGTATCACACCACACGATAGTTCGTTCCAATCTGTTCTACCTATATTTGCACAGTAATGTTTATGAAGTAGTTGTACTAATTTTTCACGATTCGTCTCCTACTAGACCCTGATAAGGTCAATAGTGGATCTCAAATTGAAGGCGAATTATCAAATTGTGGGTGGTCGAAAAGGGTGATGTTTATTTTTTTCATTTTCATGTGATTCCAGATCTCAAATCGTCAAAAAGCCATTAAGTAAACAAAAAAAATCCTAAAAACTTCCACCAAACACGTAGAAGACTCACTACAGAACAGAAAGACCGTAACGCTACCTTTCGCCAAAGATCTTACCGGCGAAATTTAGAAAATATTCAGGGGACAAAATATCTAGACCAATTAAAAATCACAAACAACGATATCAAGATTACATAGTCTAAAAGAAATTCACCTGTAAAAATCAAAGGATGCATTCGGTGACGTTGGTCAAGAATATGTTGGGTAAATCAAAAGGTGTATATCTCCAAGAGCACAGCAGAACAAAAATTCCGGAAAGAAAGCGTAAAGCAAACATTCACTGCTCTCTTTTAATATCACCTGCAGACAGGACGCAAGATCAATTTCGAAATAACAAAATAGAGAGTCAAATACAAAACCCGAAAATCTGTCATGCCAAAAATCGAAATCTAAAAACAAGGGTTCATCAACAAATGAGATGACTCAATAAATATGTATGAAAGTACCTCAAGAATCATCGAACTTCGGAACATGGAGTAAGATCAGTGACAGGTCTCGATAATGCCAAAACATCGAACTTCGAAAAAATATTTTTTCAATTTAATATCGAGAATTAATTATCATTATTCAACGAAACGTTAAGGGCTTGTAAAAAAACTTTGTGATATGAAACAGGTTACTATGTTTTCATAATTGTTTCTTCTTTGAATTAACTTTTCTGAAGCCAGTACAAAGGAACACGTTTTATAAACCGTTAGGAGCCGATTTCATTTTTTTAACTGAAAATCAGATAATCTACTTTGCTAAGTTGTTAAAGTCTGATCAATGGTCAGAGACTGTAACCATTTCAAAACTACATTTCATGCTCTCAATTTGATTAAAATTCAAGGCATTTTTATTTTTCGTGCAAGTTCTCAAACTAATACATATGGAATTCAGAACCATCAACACCATACTTGAAACATATATGTAAAATAATGGAAGTTACCATATAATAACCTCTTTTGATAGTATTATTATTTTTTGGAGGTAATAAGAGAAGTTACAGGTTTTGCAATTCATTGTATAATCAATATAATAATAAACCATTTGGTTGATATTTCAAAATTTATTATGAAGTAAAAATCACTGAGAAAATATATGTTAACAGAAGAGATAAGCTTTCAAAAACGATGTACTAAAAATGTGTCTGAAATAAAAGTCTGATATAAAAAGAAAACTCCTAAAACAAGCTTTGTGAAAAATCTAACATTTTGCAGGAGTAATTCTGTCGATTGCTTTTTGCTTATCTGACCAAACTCGATTCACGATTCTTGAACTGATTTTCAATTCATTTTCTAATTATATTCTAGTTAATCGCCACCTAAGTTTTAATAAAATTGTTCCTTATTTTCTTTTAAATCCTTTTGAAACTAGTTAATAGTAATTCATCTTAGTACAAGTCATGAAATTATGAAAAAACAAAAATTAATTGGGGCTCCGGGGCGACTTCATTGATTCCAGTGGCTTATTTGCTTTTTCAGCTGCAGGAAAACCCGGAAAAAACCTGCAGCATCTTAGTTGTGAATGTTTTATGTAATTTTTGTCATTGAACCCCTTTTTTTCTTTATTATCACTGACAATAGCACTGTAGACTTATGGTTAGCGATAATATCTTGTATATTTTCCGATATATTATCATACATAGTTTAGTAATTTCCATATACTTATCATTGTCTGTCACGTAGTATGTTGATAATATTACAACTGTACAATTTAAAACCCATCTGGGTTTCAATGGTCAATTTCTGCTATTTTTCGAATAAATCAAGCGTGTACAAATATATTCACGATCGATGTAAGTCGCTTATTGCAATGCCTATTGGTTAATGCGCCATTTATTTTGGTATTGAATCATAGTATGTGTTTATGTATAGTATATGATAAAATCTTTGAATTTCCAGACCGTAAAAAATTATGTTAATTAAATTTGTTTCGTCCTTTGTCATTTCAGCATTGTTATAGACCACTAAGTTCAAATGAAAATGAATTTTTGAATAAGTTTTGATTTATGTTTATGCAGATTTATATGAAGGTGCATCATTTCTGCTGTATTTCACTACGAGTTGGTACAAGTCCTCACGAGTCCACTTTCCTACTTCAAAAAAATAAAGTTGGATCGGAAAGGTATCGTGTCTGTGACAGCAACTTCGTTTTTTCTCGACAGTTCCAATAGTTCGAAATAATACTTGTGACGGAGAGAGTTCTTTACTCTGATTACCTCTTTGGGGTGACCTTGTTCCACTTCAGATGCTGTAGGATGTTTCCGTCTACGAGGTGCAGATCCTCTCCTTAATCCCCGCATCGTCTTTTTTTGGGATGGAGCGTTGAATATTTGACTAATTCGAATTCCATATCGATAGTATGCGTGCAATGGATAATGGCAATAGTAAGATACATAAAATAAGGGGGCTGAGGGAATCTCCTCGAAATACACTCCTGTTGAAACTAACCACGTAAAGCGAGCCCTTTCAGTGCGATGTAATTGTTCAAGGCATCTGACTACTTATTCGGTGCAAAGCATCTGAAAAAATTCACGATGAGCTCATGCAATGTTGTGTCAAATGTCATGCGATAATCAATCCAAACCATAGAGAGGTTACGCTTTTGCTGCACTGAGTCTTGCGTTATACTTAAAGAAGTGATCAAATTCTCCTTGCATTAAACCACACCTTTCTTCGACTCTGTCGACTCTGTAGGTCAACTGATGCGAGTATTCGTGCATATAAGATGCGGTTAACAACTTATAGCATGTATTCAAGAGTAATTCTTTGGAATAGGCAAATCTCCATTTCAAGAGATAAAAACATTCCGCCTCTGATAAAACCAAGCCCGAAACTGCCGCTCCCCATCCAGCTAAGATATTAAAATTCCGGAAAAGTGGCCGTGGGTACTCCGTAGTTTTTTCCACCAATAAGTATTTTTTTGTGATGTACTGTTTGGAACCTTTGGTGTAGTAATGAATATTACTGGATTTTTTTCTCACCACTAAACCGTTATTTTAACACCTCGACACGTGTTTCGATCACCAAGTGATCATCTTCAAGGGGAAGATCAAACAGTTTGATATTCCTCTTGAAGATGATCACTTGGTGATCGAAACACGTGTCGAGGTATTAAATTAACGGTTTGGTGTAGGGGAAAAACTCCAGTAATATTTCTTAATAAGTATTTTGCTCATTCGGGCCTGTAGCCTCGAAATTTTTATATTCCAAACGGGTTTTTCGAAATTTTTCGGTGGTTATCAGTTCGCGCAGTTCAATTCGTTCAAGTTCTTCAGGCTGCTAAGGCTGGAGTATCTGAGTTGAGTGGTTGCGGATGCCCATAAATGTCATTTCCGATCAGCGGTCGGCGGGTTATCTACAAATGTGAAGGTTCTTGAAATATTTTCAGTTGTAATTTAATTCCAGTTCACGTTAAATTATACTCAACGTATGTTTATCCAGCATAACCATACCATTCATCCTGAAAGTATGCAAAAGTAATTATATCCTGAAAAAACAAAATTTGGCCAATATTTATTGACTTATTAATCGACCAGATTCAAAAACTTAAACTATTATGACAAACGTTGTGATCAGTTTTTTCACCTAGACAGAGTATGAAATATTACTTCGTAAAGATTGAATCGATTAAATCAATTAAAACATACCATGTTTCATTTTCAGATACGTCTGTCTGATGCCACCGTGCGTTAAAAGCATGTACACTCCAAAACAATGCGAAAACACACCCTGTGCTATTCTCTTAGCCCCACAGTACAATTCTACCAAATTCCTCATAAAGCAAGTCGACGAAACTGGCCTCCTAGTGAAGATTCTTTGGTTAGGCGATAACTTCCAATCCGCTCTTAATGAAATTAAAGGTATCCACCTACTGGAAAACGTTCACCACAACAAACCGAAGAAGAGTGTTGTGTTTTTCCATTGGTTCCCAAGCGAAGTTGTTACAAACGAAAATCATTTCATCAGCGTACAGTTCAAGAATAACGAATTGTATAACTTTACACGTGGAATTAACGGTTCTGGGTATAAATATGAAATGCAGCGTCTGGTCAAACTGGCTTGGAGTAAAATAGAAAACAATGCCCAGCCGCTCTACATCGCATTAAGACATTTCAAGCTCACAGAAGATGATTACCTTCATCTTCTCAGGATGTACGAGAAAAGTGAACAATCTGTCCCGGAAATAGCATGCACATGGATGAAGGAGAACCAGCAAGTATGGAATAGCTGGAAGCATGGCACTCAAAAAGCTGTAATTTATATCGGAGGTATATTCCCTATGAGTGCTTCCTCATACAATGGGGGAGGGATTGCTCGGGGGGCCATGATCGCCGCTCAAGCTGTCAACAACAACCATACTCTGCTGAATGATTACGAGTTGAAATTATTAGTTTCTGATGGGAAATGCCAAACTGACAGTGTCATGAAGAACTTCATCGATTTCATCGTCACCCGGGAGTACTATAACAATTTAGTAGGGGTTCTCGGACCAGCTTGCTCGGAAACAGTGGAACCTATTGCTGGCGTTTCAAAATTCTATCACATTTTGATTATTTCTTACAGTGCTGAGGGTGCTAGTTTTTCGAACAGAAAGAAATATCCATATTTTTTCAGGACCATTGGGGAGAACCAACACTACAAGCATGTATATTTGGCACTGTTTCAGAGGTTAGTTTCATTCTTATTGGTTTTCAGTTGAAGTAGGTTCATAGTTTAGAAATTCAAGAAGCTAGTAATCATCATAATTTTTATAAATATTTACTTATTGCCTTCTATTGAGAAATTTAGCTTCCACAAAAAGTTCTCAAAATTTTGTTGCGAAATCTTCAATGTTCATTTTAGAAGGTTGTTCACACAAAACAAAGAACATTTTATTTTTGTATATTTGGAATTTGTTTATTTTTCAATGCAGATTTTCACATTTGTGTCATGTAAAATCTCAAAGTCTATCATGAATTATAAATTTTCATCAAGTAAGCCTCACTTCCATCCAACATTACCTACCTAATTGCAGTGTGGCTGTGTCAAGTAATTTAAAATCTGTCAACTATGTGATTACATAAAAATTTCAAAAAAGATATAGCATAACAATAATATATCAAAAACTTATCACAACTGTTGTTGTAGGTGTTGAAAAAATATTTCTAAAATTTGATTTTGTACATCTGTCAACAAAATCACTCAAATTTCATAAATTTCAAGTACTGATGCTCGCAGTACGAGTAGTTATTTGTAATTTCGTCTCTTATCCACAATTAATGTTCAGTTTACATTTTGTTTATTGAAATTAAAATATCATTTTGACAGGAATCATAATGTAAACCGTAAGAGATACAAAGCTGATTGAATTAGAAATAAGTTGCCCATTTCAGAACGTATTCAAATGACGTTTTAAAACTCACCAATTGAACGATTATGTGATGTATCAGTGAAGAACTCGCTTAAAAGGGCAATTTTTTTCGGTCTATATAAAAAATTTAAATTGTTGGTGGTTTAGCATTGCGGTTCGTCTCGGATATCTTCGGATTGTCACTGAATTTTCTAAATTTCAAAATACCATTTAAATAAACTGCTACCCAACTTTATTCTAATTTAACAAACTTTGTGTCCCTCACTGTTTTCCCATAACGGCCCCACAGAATATAACCATTATTTTACCAGAAATGTTTCAAATATAAATAAATTTCATCAGGTTTGGTTGGAAAAGAGTAGCAGCTTTAACAGAAGATGGTCAGAAATACACGGAATATATATCCTTGATGAGTGACGATTTAGAAAAGGATGGCATCAAATTCATTGCCAATAAGAAATTTCCCAGGGACAAGAGCTCTGAGGATATGAAATATGTGAGTCTTTGATCAAACTTAAAATGAATTGAATATTTCTTTGGTCAGATTCAAGTAATCATTAATTCGAAATATGAATAGTATAAAGATGGAGCTAAAGGAAATAATTTATGGTGCATGAATATAACTGTTTCAATCACATTGTTTCTTATTGTAATGAACTTCTTATGATGAATAATGAATAATGTTTTAAAAAAATCAGCGTAACTTCAATTCACTGACAGAAATATGATTGGAAGTTTGAGTCTTTGATGATTCCTCATAGGCTCATTGTCAACAAAACTTATATCTTACAGACCTCATCATATTATCAAGGACAGCGGACGATAGTGGATACTTTCACAGTATAAGTTTTAACTATGGGTACTTATTGATATGCATGCAAATTTACGAATTACTTTATAACTTAAAAAAACTGTCTGGCACAATAAGCGCAATTCAAACATTGATCTGCCTATTGCAGTTAACATATGTATATCCCCACATTTGGCAACGATGTTATTATACCAAGAGCCTTGTTTCTTCACTCCCAGTTAACTTTGAAGAGAACGTAAACCGCGTTTCCAAGTAGTTTGTAGTAATAATGTCGTTATATTTTATTACTATGTATAGGGGTGTGCTTATGCAGAAGCTATAGCCTGTCCAGAAATGAGAGAAACTACGGCAGTATAATGTCTAAATATCATTGCCATAGACGTACTGCCTTCAAATCATTTACTACCAACGAATTGAATAAATGAATATACAAAATTTATTCTTGAAAAATCTCATTCATAACAAACTAAATAACAAATCAACTATGGAAAATGTGAAAATATGTCGAGTAGTAACCAAGACATTCTTCAACAAATAAGTATTTAGTTGTATGGGATTGAAAAAAATTGTATTTTTGAAGGCGGTATAAATAGATATTTTTCTGATTGATTTGATCTCCACAAACTTCATTTGAAAATATATATCACAACATGTTTCACTCACACCATAGCTTTATCAAGTGATTTGATAAATCACTTGATATCTGGCTATGCTATATACTTCTTGGCTCTACTCAAACTAATCGAACTTCATATAATAAATAGAAATTATAAAGGTCCAAATCCTTTTTGAGACATATGTTAAAATTAAAATAATGAAAATGAAAATTAGTTGCACCATTCAAAAATAAATATATATTATCAATTTGAAAACTTCCCACTATTAATACGTTCCTTCCAGTAAACCATATGAGGAATCGAAAAAACAAGTCAATTTTATTGTTTGGGGGTCACTTTCTAGCCCTCGTGGTTCAACCCCCTAGGCGGGGTAGACGTTACCCTTAGAATTTTCAATAGGAAGGGGATCATGTGGCACATTTTGATTGGCGTTCAATTCTGCTTCCAATGGTACCCTGATTTATTGTTTTTTGATGAGCATTTTCCGAGAAAAAGCATTCTGAACTAACAGAAGTAATCGTTAATACTGAGATATATGGTTTGACCAGAACTGGTAGGAATATTAGGTTGTACAGTTCCAACCCTTCATTAGCGGTAACATTGACCACTAGCTCCAAGTAATTTTCATCAAAAAGTAGTCTAATAGTAAAACCTAGATGGTAGTAAAGTTGTGTTTAATAAATGCTGAATTTTTATTTCTCATTTTAGAAAGTGTACAGATAGCCGTTCCTTTTTGCTACTTTTGCTGTAAAAAGTTTCTGTATTAGGGCAAAAAATTGTTCGCAAATTTGAATGATGTCGTAGAATTGTGCATACCTACAGTTTTACCTGTTGGGCTGTTTAGTGATTACTTCAATGAGTGTATAAAAGTGTAAAAATTATTCACATTCTTCAAGACAGAATTTCAACGATAGACATCCAAATTGTAATGTAATTGGTGTAATTGTTGAATAAGTTTTACGAAACTGGTTCAGTGACAAATAAAGAAAGAAATATCCCCAGAGTACTATATGAAGCAGTCTAAATTGAGCATTTGTTGCAAAGCCCACGAGCTTCTTACAATCAGTATCAGAACAGGCGGGAATGTCACGCTAGACTGTAAGAAAAGCTTCGAAAATACATTAATTTCATCCTGTTAAGTGTTTAAGGTTTAAACGAGTGATGGCTGGAATAAAACTTGGATCGGTATTTTCAAAATTATTTTATGCTGATCTTTCGCACAACATTCTACACAAACTTTTTACAACTTGAATAACCTTATGTATTACATAGATATTACATACAGAATAAGACAGTCACACACTACCAACATTAAATTACCTCATTGTTACCAACACATCCTTATAAAATGCAGATTTTTCAAGAGCTACACGAGGATTATTATGATACCAGGAGGATCTGTTACATTTCCATCAGGACGGTGCTCCATCTCATTGTTTTCATCCCGTCCGACAGTGGTCAAATGAGGGATTTCCAGATAGACGGATTGGCAGAAGGGGAGCAGCTGAATAATATCTCCGAGATCACCGGATTTAACACCCTTAGATTTCTTTCTTTGGGAACATAATAAATCATTTGTTTGTAAAACATAACCTTCTGATATTGAAGAACTTGAAAGACGAATTACAGCAGTATACCAGACAATTCCCAGTGAAGTTTTTCGTAATGTTAGAGGGAAGTTCGATAACAAACTTTATTACTGTTTAGGAACGACATTTCTAACAGTTTGTAGAATAAGCTTAAGTAGATTTTATGTTTGAAATGTCTTTCTCGCAAATTGAATTTTATTTTGTAAAAGGACAATAACCACGTGTAATACCCACGTGTTATACATTCATTTCTGTCATTCAAGGGTTGGAACAATGTCACCTATTCTTCTAATCATTTTTATTCAATAATGCATCTCAAAACAGGCAAATTAAAATTACACGTGTAAGTTTAGAACGCTATTTTTCGGAAACTGCTCATCAAAAAATAAAACGTCAGGGATCATTGAAAGCAGAATTGAACGCTAATTCAAATTATGTGCCACTTGACACCCCTTATCATGTAAGAATCTTGGGGTAACATCTACCCCTCCTTGGGGGATTGAACTACAAGGGCTACAAATATTCCTTGAAAATGTCCCGCTTGACAATAAAATTGACCTGTCTTTTCGATTCCTCATATTATTTACTGGGAGGGAGATATTAAGGGTGGGAAGTTTTCAAATTGACACCCTGCATATACAATGCGGTCCTAAAGTAACGCATAACTTCATTTCCTATGTGTTTATGAACGCAAATGAAAAATCCTCATACAGGTCAATTTTTATATTTGAAAATACACTTTATCAATAAAATTTATATTATTCAACTGTCCATAAAATCTCTAGAAACTAAAGCTACCCTTATAAAAATTTTGAGTAGAAAGGGATAGCGTGTGACAACTCGTTTGAAAGGACCTCTTCAATTATTTGTATTGTATTTTGTTGTAAATTCTTCTTTGTGCATTTCTGAACTTTTCTGTGAATTGTTTCGAAATGCGCCTATCTGAGACCCAAATAATTGAGATATTGTTATTGCTTGGGGTGGATGATATGACAAGAATACAATCTGAAGTATGTAGAAGTAGCCTGACTATCACATTCCCCAGTCTACGGTGAGTGAAACTGAACAAAAATTTCGTGAATTCAGAACGGTTATCAGTAGTTGAACAAACTTGTGAAACACCCAACTCGAGGTGGATATGTTTCGGAAAGACTTTAGTGAGTGGGAGAGAGAATCGTGTGACGTAATCGATGCAGAGAAAGATGGCATGAGTATCGGGAGAGATTCAAAGAGCGTGAGCACCCTTGGGACTCCGCCCCACTCCTCGGGATTTCACTCCCCCTTGTCACGTACCATTCACGTGATTCTAGTGGTCATCGACAGCTGAGGAAAATTCAATTGAAAAAGTTTATAGGTATGAGATTTGAACTCAGGTCGTCGGCGTGGTAGTCGTTGTCCTTAGCTTCGACATCAACATGGGATAGTGGAAGTAATTGCGAATTGTTGTTGTTTTGTCGGAATCGAAATTAACTAATTTCTGTTTTCTGTTTTTTCCGATAACCAGCTGTCGCACCCCTACGAACGACAACCTTCAGAAGTCGAAACTTGTGCCAGCTAGGGATTAACGAGGTCTCACCTTTTAACGTGTGATTCCTAACACGGGTTGGACGGTAGCAAGTGAAGATCGATCGTTCAGACTAGGGCTTGAACCACTTACCAACACGGCAGTCAATTTGAGTGAGTGAACAAAGCACCCACGCCAAACCGCTTGGCTACCGACCGACCGCTATACATAACTGCATTTTTCTATTCCGTAGAATTTTAGAAAAATTGTGATGTCATTTCCATGTAAAAATAAGGAAATATCCTTAGATTTAGAGAAGAATTGATATTTCATGAAAAGGTGTGTGTGTGTAAGAGTGAGAGACACGTATGAAGTAATCGATGCAGAGAGATATGGAGATGGTATCGAGGTGATAGTCGTTAGCGCAAGCATGGCATGGTGGCTCCAAGATGGCGGACGAAATTTGTGATTATGGCCTGATTCGAATCAAAATTAGTAAGTGGGGAGTTTCAGGGTCGGACATTATGATTTTTTTGTCGATGAAATAAACAAGATGGCGGGCGAAATTTGTAATTATGGTTCGATTCGACTCGGCACCGAAAAAGAATTCTTCAAAACACATGTGTTGTGACAATAATGCAAAAACACGTGTCGATTTTAAATCCAAGGGGGACATCTTCCTGTCGTAACCTCAACTGTTATTCCTCTCTTCCCGCCCCTTGGTCACTCATACAATTTGAATAGGGAAAGTACTTAGTGTAACACAGCAGTGTGCATAAATTTAACTAAGAATAATCCAAACTACTTTAATTCACAGTAGATGCTCGAAATATTCTCCATTCACTGCATGTCTGGGGGTTACTTGATGACATTCGGTTTTAATGCGTTGACTTAACTCTTCTACCGAACCTGGCTGAGTGGCGTATATTTTACTTCTTAAATGACCCCACAAACAGTAATCTAAGGGGATGAATC